GCCATCATACACTTAATGCCTTCATACTAATTAATAAAAAAAAAAACCTTATCAATGAATTTAGGATTAAAAAAGCGAATTCAATTATGAGAGTAAAACATTTTTCAATTACAGAAAACGAAAATCACGTACAACAATTATACATATGTAGTAAAAATACATTCGAATAGTAATTGAACTTGAAGTTAGTTAAAGATTGAGTAACCTGTGGACTGTATAGCGTGCATATTTTTTTATACTTTTATTAAGTCCTATGAATATATATATATATATAAGCTATATGGCAATGTTTCTCATTGTTGAAGGAGAAATCTAGATATATTTTCACATTTGATCAATTCAATGTCCGGTTTATAATATAAATACAGAGTTCATATACATATTAAATATTAAAAATTCTTGAAAGAAATTTCTTTCGTTTTTTATAATAAATATTTCTTTTCAGTAAATTTTTTCAAAGTAAAATTAACGGCCCGAACCAATATCCTTTGAGAGAATGTATCTCTAAGGATATTCATGTATATGATATGATCATATACATGTAGGTACCCATTATATGTTTGTTACCTTTGATGCTATGTTTTCCAGTTATAGATTACTTCTTCCTGCAAAAGCCATAACTTAAGCTATAAAATTACCCAAATCAACCTTAAAATAGACTGGCTCCCTTGTTGAGCAATTAACAGCGACATTGAGCCATAATTACCGTATTATGTAATCCCTGGTGGACTACTTTGTGCTTTTGGTTGAGTTACTGTATTGATTCAGCAATAAAAGAGGCTTGTGTTTTATCATGGTCCATAACTTTTGGCGAATAGATGCGCTATTTAGTTCGTTTATTGCTCTGTTTCGATTCGATACCTAATTGGAAGGCGGGGCTAAATATGAAATTATTACAGTAGTGTTTGAACGAGGCATCATTTGCATAATTTCATTTTAGACTCCGGGGGGAAAGGGGTTGTTAGCAATGGAGTTTGACAGCCCCATTGCTAGCAATATGCCCTACGTCCACGTGGTTCCCCCTGGAAACCATCGTGAACAATTCTTGTTGAATTCGTCACGATGGGCTAACTGGCCTGCTTTATCCTCACCTATCATCACTGGTGTCCCGCCGGTGTATACCGACAGCGCGGGTGGGGTTATAATTCCATTATCACCCATAAAAAAATAAGAGACTCCAAGTATTTATGGTTTATGAATTCGAATTTTGTTAATATCAAAACATATGCGTCAACAAACAAAATTACTCCAAGAGACAAGGATGTAAATGGAATACTAACACTGCTTGCGCTATCAGTACACATTGGCGGGGTGTACTGTGTGTAATCGCCTACCATCACTCATATCAGTGAGCGATGGTAGGCGAGGATAATGTTAGTTGAGTAGATCCATTGTGACGAATTCACTAGAAATTAACCATGATGGTTTCTAGGGCGGATCGTATAGAGATTGACCTGAAAGGGTGTATTGGTAGCAATGAGCTGATAAGTCCCTATTACTAACTATCGCACTCACCTAGATTTATGTTATATTATAGATTTTATACCTAGCATTATTTAGCAAAAAAATACATGTTAAATTTTTTTTTATGCAACTTAGAATGGCAAAGAAGCTGACGGCCCACCTGATGGAAAGTGGTCACCGTCGCCTATAGGCATGAGCTGTACCGTGGACATAACAGAGTATACTGTTTCGCCCATCATCCCTCCATGCGTTGCCATTCCTGAGGACTCAGGTGTTATTCCTCTGTACCCAGTAAATTTACGCCATATCCCACCCTTCAAACCGAAACACAACTGCTTCACGGTAGAAACACGAATGGGACAGAGGTGCCCAAGCAATCGACTTTTGTACAAAGTCTCCCTCTGGTAAATTTTAGAACAATTTGTACTTTTATGTCTCATATAATATAAATAGCGTATATTATGAATGCATCCGGGTGCATTCGATACTTGACAGGTTTGGCGCCCGTCCAAGCGATTAGTAACGGAGGCGCTAGGCAGTCAGGCGCAACACATATCCCGACGTCACATCAGTTTTTTACGTAAAGTTATCTTGATTATACGAGTATTATGCATCATTAGGTATTTAATTTGAAAAAATACTACTTACTTTTATTTTCTTTGTATTTACAGCATGAAGATCTCGAGCAGACTTGAGTCACAATAATTAGTGTCATTTTTTATTTTCTCTTTATACCGGCATGCAATATATTATATTATGTGTGTTTGGCGACACTATATTTGTCACTAAAAGACATGAATATAGAGAGAAAAAGTAAATGCAACATTCCAAACGTGTATAAAGTATATACCTTTATATCCGTTTTGAACATATACATATAAAAGGGATCAAAATCGTTAACATCCTTTGAAAGGAGTTTATCTGTGAAATTCAAAATTTTCACTAAAAGAAAAACATTGGACGAATAACAACAACAATTTCTAGCCTCCTTTACTAATTAACACCGTGCGTTCAGCTAGTTATTGAGTTAGTATAAGTAATTCAAAATTTTTTGTCGTTAATGAAGTTAAAAAATTTTGTAAATCAAATTACAAAATTTTTCTTCTAATATATTATATCATGGGTAGATTCTTAATTTTATGTACCGTTGACTATATTGATTTTGCACTGTATGCTTAGATAAGAGAGAAATATCCATCTATAGATAATTTTCTTAAAGCCTCTCTGTTTATTGCATTGCCACTATATAATTACTATATATATCTAATGTAATCTAGCTAGAGCACACTTAATGTTGTTAGAAAAATACAGTCGATTTGAGAAACTCCTTCTTTTTGACATCGGTTGAAAAGCGTTCTATATTTTATTATGAGGATGAATAATTATCGCGCTCTTAGTAAAATATAGAATTTATGACTGAAATAAGCAAAATAAGTTTAATAAAACACACCCTAATTAAGGAAAGCACTCTCCTTTTTAAGACCATAAAGTTCCAAGGAAAAGGATTTTTTTTAAAGACCGCTTTTTATATCACCTTATTATCCATATTTTTCATGTTAGTATAAATAAATGAATAACCTACTTTGACAATGGTCATTCAAATGTAATTGTAGTCATATTGATAGACCTTCATAATAATTTTATACATACGTATATAGTATAGTACCTTTAGATAATATTAAGAGACATTCTCGTATTTGCAAATTATCAACCACGAATCTTGTTATGAATATCTCGTCTAGCAACACGGTTTTAATCATAGTATGTAATGAATAGCTATATGGATTCTATGTCGTGGCAACGTAAAACAGGAGCTTTCAATTACTAATCAATGTAGTTATATTTTATTAATATTACTTTTAAAAAGTCATTTGTTTAATCTCTTTCTTTAATCGTACAAATTGAGATTTTGTGTGATATAATGGGAATAGGAAAGTAAGAAATTCAATAAAGCTTCTGTAAGCTCAAGACAATGAGATAGATAGACGACACGTCGAAGTTAATTGCTAGAGAAAAAAAATTGAATGATGACCTTTGTATATATAGGCTAGCATAGTGTAGCGCAGGTCCCCAACATTTAATGAAGGCAATTTTAGTAAAGTTTGTAAGACAAAATAAAAATCTACTAGAGTGTGAATATATCATTTTATGTAAGAAGTACCTATTAGGAATTTATACATTACTACTGTTATTCTTGTGCAGGTGTCGCCATCTGGTGTAAATATAATATTATATTAAGAGTACTTCTTGTAGAAATTTATTGACGACCATGCCTCACCTACGGGAGAGTTTATGCTCAGTAACCCGTGAGTAGTTGCCCCCAGAGTGGAAGTCGTGGTAAAGGGAAATTCCTTGAGACCCCTAGCAACGCTCCAACCCATAATATTTTTGACTCAATAACGATACATGACACCGACCTAACATTATGCTCTCTTTGATATTTTTTCGTAAATATATAATGAACGTTTCTTTAGAAGAACCTTTTCAGAAGACTCTTTGAGTTAATCAGAAACAGAAGGCTTTAAGGAATACATGTACCCTAATGTAAATATGTAACCCTGTAATATGAGAAAAAATGCATTTTAAAATCGAAGAAAATTAAATAATTCCGCAACACATTTTGCAATATAAACTTTATTTATAAAAAGATATGTACAATTTTTATTTTTATGTCTATGACATTCATAACTTACTTACAAAACATATTTTTCAAAGCATTCTTCAGCTTCAATTGTCCATTTATCAATTTAGTACCTGTAGGTACAAGAGAAACATTTAGTTTTAATGTACTTTATAATGTCTAGACAGATTATTAATAGAGAAGATTAAATAAATTTTCGATGGGCATTTATAAATAACTTCATTATTAACAAAATACATTGGATATTTACATAAATTTTTTGCAAACAGATCTGATAATAGTTAGGTATTTATTCATAATTTCATTACAAACAACTTACATAAGAATGACTAGAAAAAAAAAAAACAAAATCTATTAGAATATCATTACAATAAGATTACACATCTAATATAAATAATAGTATTTATCTAATGAGCTGTTTCAAATTGTTTATTAAAACATATATTAACAAATATAAAACATTTATAAGTTCATGTGTATTGTTTAAATAAATTAATAGTAAATATTTTCACAGTAATAATTTAAATTTTTATCAACTTATTATTTTTCTCTTTTTTCTCTATAGGTAAGATTTTTGAAAATAGATTTTAATGTAGTTATTTTGAGATGATTTATGTTTAAATTTATGTGACATGCTTAAATTATAATAAATACATCTTTTAGGTGCTTAACACACATAGCGGTGGGTATAGTTGTCATTCACAAGTTTGTTTGTGTATGATCTATTTCTTATATTTAGTGTATTTTATACATTATTATATATATATATATATATATATATATATATATATATATATATATATATATATATATATATATATATATATATATATATATATATATATATATATATTATATTAATTGGACATTTGAATACAGCAAAATCTTCTGTTATAATAATTTCTGTTATAGTAATTTGTTTTGCCTACTATTATGTCATTAATAACATATATTAAGATTGTTCATTAAATATCCTAAGTCTAAAAAATTTAAAAATTTACATTATATATATCGCCGAGTACTTATATACAATGACAGCGTGGCGATTTTCCGTAGTTATCCAATGAGAATGCCGCTACACCGCTGTGTGTTAAGGGCCTTATGTTAAGTATGTTTATGCCTAGAAATGAAACCCGTTTCCTTCCATATAGTATTTATAAATAATACGTAACACAATTTTGGGTATAGATTTCTTTATGCAAAGTTTTAATTTTGTATAGTTGTTTGATTCCTGAGATTTCGTTATAATTGAGTGGTATTATACTTTTCAATGTGACTACGAGTATATATTATATAAAATTTTATCTTACTTTATTTTTAGAGTTTGTTTAAAATAATTTTGTATTAAAAAAGAACTTAATATATAATATAATCGCTGAAAAATTACTAAGTGAGACTTTACTGTCTTTGAAAAACGTATTAAGTATCAGAATTTTTTACTATCCATGCACTTATAACCACCAGTCAAATAGGTCCTGCCTATTACTAATAGCAAATACTAGGTAAATAAAAAAAAATCTTTTGTAAAATTAGTTTTTTTTGTTAAAATCAATTTACTTAAAATATCTTAATCTAAGAATAATAAACAAATTTTATGATACAGAAATAATAATATTTATTTAATATTTTGCATAATATTTGCTAGAATTTTAACGAAATTTGCATTATGGATATTGTAAATATTATTTTATATTGTAACTATTTTTCAGGTTGCTTAAAATATTAAATTACTTAGCTATATACAATATAATTAAATCATATTTAGAGGTATTAGAAAATTCTTAAACGACAATCGCAAATGTTTGAACAATAAATAAAAAAATTAGCTTGAAAAAAATACAAAATATGTCAATTTATTTACTGATTTATATAGAATTAGGCTCTGTTTATTGGTGATTTTTGTTTATTAAATTTGAATTACGAATTTTTACGTTAACTGTATAATCTTAATAATATTTAAGTGTACGTTAACATTAACGACATATAATGACGTCCAGCGTTCGAGTTGTCAATTGAGCAAAAAAGTTTGGATTTATGAGTATGCTCATCTTTCACACATTATAGTACGAGTAATCCAGATATGACAGATTGGACCAATAATAATATATTTAGTATGCAACAGTAGCAGATGTGTATATAAAAGTTCGTAGTAAAAATGAAAATGTCGTGGACTTTTTTGTAGTTTATTTTTGATCATTATGTTGATGTCTGACCGAATTTACTATATATATATATATATAAAACTAAAAAATAACTGAAATAATCGTAATAACTATATAAGTATCCCATAGGATCTGAATTTATCCTAAACGGCACAATGAGCTTATTATATTAACATAGAGATATATAGGAGCATAATTTAAAATACACTAGGACAGTAATAGTAACACACAGTTATACATCATATAGATTTCACCAATTAATTTTCTATTCACTAAAAATTATTACATATATAATCTGGTGTGTTTTTGAGAAGAAATAATTAATTATATTATTGTAATTGTTAAAAAATATAATAATAGAGAGAAGATGTACATTTTCATTCGTAGAACCCTCACTTGAATGGATGCTAGTTATTTCAATTTCAACTGGCATTAAAATCAATCAAATAAATCATAACACATTTTTATACAAGTCAAAAACTTTACAATTGTTTTGTTTTGTTATTCTCTTTCCATTTGTATTCATAACTTTATATAGATTTAAATTATAAATTAAGGATAGTACATGGTTCCGTGTAAATAACAATGTAATAAGAACATATATTACTGGCTCATATCTAAAATTGTACTATTATATAACCTCAGCATATAGTCGGGCCCGTTTCATAATAACAACATCGGAACATAATTGTGGCAAGAACTCGTCAGCTATAATATATTAAGTGTAAAGATAATTGCACAAATCTGAAATATTTTATGTGTTATATTAGAATTTCTATGTAGAGTATAATTATTTCAAGATGTAGTATAGTTTAGTTACTATTGCACATATGATTAGTTAAAATTTGAAATATATGGAACAAATTATTTTTTCATGCGTAAATAGCTGATAGCATTGATCTGAATTTATAATTAATGTACGTATATTCCTAGCATAGGTGGGTAGAAAATATATCTAAAGAAAATGATTTTTACTTTAGTTTGATTTAAATATTTTGAATCAATAAAGAATACTTGGAATAAAAACTTATACGAGTACAAACAAGCTTAGGTGTATGATTTTTTTTAATCCCGTGTCTAGACAAAAGTAATGATATATTCATGAGTAAAAATCGCATATGAAATATCTATTTTGTTAAAAATAATACATCGCTAGACAATTGCTTAATTCATTGTTACGTATTCTTTGATCCTCATATTTTAATCAGTATACTCGTATAATCAATTCCGTAGATAGTTTTGAATGAAAACACAAATATAGAGAGCCAGTTAGATCTGCAAAACTATTAGACATGAAATAAATAATTTTATATTTTTAAATAACAGATACAGTATATTTGAAGTCAATAATTGTCAATTTGAAATAATAAATTTAATTAAAAACTTATTCGCACTTTACATAAATCTTAAGATGTTGTCTTACAGATAACTTTCAGTTTAAACACTAACATAACACGTACGTATATATTCTGGAGTATTATATCTAGTATTTCGGCTTGTCGGTAAAGACTGTTTGTTATATACAGTTCGTTATTAATATCTGCCGTTTTGTTCGATTTTAAACCTTATATAAACATAACAAGTACTATATATAATAATTAATGGTATTTACAAGAACTGCTGCAAAACACTCACTCGTTTCTCTTGTACGAACCTTCCTCACGGAACCGATGTCTTCGCCCTGTAATTAGAGGAATAAATACATATTTAATAATAACACAATATTAGATTCACGTGAATATCACTTGATTATAACAAATGAACTGTTATTAAGACCCCCTGGAGGCTTATGTTCAAGGCTATAGATCGTTACACGAGTAGCTCGTATTATTAGGACATTTCTATTAACATATTGCTATATATTAATAACTTGGATTATCTTTCTTTACTTGGCACAATTAGTAAATAACCTTAACGTCTTCTTTTATTCAATTTATTAATTTAAAAATAAATCAGACAAAAAGTAATAACGTGAATTATTATAATCAATTAAGTTTTTCTCGCGATTTAATCCGTCTGACCAGGAAAAAAGGCATCTGTTTATTCTAAAGTATTGGGTATCTAAGCCTGCATTGGTTCCATAAGAATGTATTTTTCCGTACGATTTTCGAACACTGTATGATACAAATTTTATTCTAACAATTACAAACACAACAATAAAAGAATTATCCATGTAGATGTAGCCGAGTTGGAGTGATGCGCTGAAATACATTCGGCAATTAATATTTATTTATATAGCTTATCGTGCATGATAATCGGCAATTAAGGCACCAAGGAATACCAAAGAAACAAAATTTAATATTTATTTATTAAAGGTGAATACAAAAATTTTTTAAATGTAACTGTTTATTTATATTATACACAATTATTTTTATTAAATGAATAGCCAAAATTGTTTACTCATTTTACAACGTATAGAATAGAAATAGAAAAGAAATAAATATGTTTTATATACAATATCAATTGGATAAAGATTGGAATTGGATTGGATTTTGTGGAAGAATACACGTGTTTATTTTTATAAATATTCATTAATATAAATGTTATTATTTTACTAAAAACTACCTAATTATATATATACACATATGTACATATGTATATTAGAAAACATATATATCTTAGTTTTGAAGCGTTACAATTTATATCTGGAATGCGAATAAAACTCGTAATGTGTCGCCTTATCGAAACTTGTGAATACGAGAAATTCCATTTTCTTTTTATTTGGAGCAAATTCTTTAACCTTTAATGCCATTGAAATATTCTAAGTATACTTCTAGGTTATTGGAAATATTCTGTACTCTTAGATAAATATTGACAGTTACAGCAATTAGATAAATATTGACATCTTAGATTCTGTATAGTTTAAAAATTTGTATGTACGTCTAGGTACATATACGTTTAAAAATTTGTATGTACGTCTAAGTACATTCAAATTTTATTAGCTTTATTTTATTAACCTTTATATTATAAATTAAAATTGTATGAAAAAAGAATTGATATTTTAAAAAGAAACTTATATATATTAAAATACCTAGGTTTATAATTAAAGATTATAATGCGACACTAAATATAGAATGCATTCAATTAAATTATATGCTCATTTCTAAGTAGTAATGTTTGTGAAAAAATCTGTCGACGTATTCTTATATATTTTCTAAATAATATAATATTTTATATTTTTTGATATGTAGTTTTATATTTTTCGTAACTATTCGACTCTGCTTGATAACATGTTTTTAACATAAGTGTCAGTTTTATATTTTAACTTTAATATCGAGGGTTTTTATTATTGATGATCATTACAAATAATTCATAGAATGATGATAATACTTACGTGTTCTGTCCATCGGAATGTGAAGCGGTCGGTAGGGGCCACTTGTGTAGATGTGCTCGCCACATCATTTGCCCAAATGTCATTCGGAATTGTCGGGACATTGAGCAGTATAGGACGAAGTTGATAGCACCGTTTAAGAGTGCTAGTGCATCCATGAGCTCCCCAAACAGATTGTAGCAATGTTTGAAGAAACAACGACCGAGCAATCCACTGAGTAAGCCCAGTATCCCTTGAGGTAATTCTGTCACAAGAAAAAGTAGCAGCACTGCTACTAGCATCTTAGTCGTTCTATTTGTTCTTCTATCAGCTTTGCACTGACGTTTGCCGTTCTTATTATTTGTTGGGCACGCGTTGTAAACGCGGACTTTTTTCTGATGCTGATTTGCACTGTACACTTCACGTATTAACCATAAGCTGATGATGGTTAATATACAGCATGGCAGCAATTTGATAACAACAGCGTGTACCCAAAAGTTAATCTGGTATAGCTGGCCTTCGTGGTCTGAATCCACATAGTACAATATCATAGGTCCCGTAGGTTCTAATACTACAGTTGTGTGAATATCGAACACCTGTGGAATAATAAATAAATAAAAATAATACTTATTAATATTCTAAATTAATATTCCATTTGTGTGACCGTAAATTTTAAATCCAATTATTTTCTTTTCTGGATGAGAACGTTAGAACACTAAATTGAATATTATTCCTAAATTATGTATAATAATTGCGAAGGTATCTATTGAATAATGCTTGGTTAGACTATTCTACGAACTAAGAAAAAAGAATCCGTAGGTAGTTAAGTCTCGCAAAGAACTCCTTGAGAGACTTTGCTGTCTATCAATAGGTATATCAATCGATAATAATTAGTGAGTCCTTCGTTAAATATCTTAGACATATTTTGTGTAAATTTTTTTTTTCCGCAATGTGAAAAATATTATCAAAAATTAATAAGGTGTAGATCAAAGCCTTAATAACTTAATGTACTGATTTATTATGCTCTTTGGCAAAGTAAAAAACCATGACAGTTTATATAGCTTTTATGTTTATTTAATACTATCATAATGCAGTCCATGCCACTCTCACAAATAAGACGAATTAGTGACAAACCATTACCAACATTATCCTCTTTTTTATCAGTCAGGTAATTTCATATAGAAATATATAGCTGGAGTTTATATCAAAATAAGCTTTTTAGGGCTTAGTAATTCCATTTTTTTCTATTTTATATTTGAATAATAATGAATGATCTCATAGTATAACAACTCATTAATGTTCTATTTTTGGTAACAGCTCGCTACTTATTAAAGGTCTCAGTAGAAAAAATAACTGAAGTAGAATAATTAATATAAGGCCAACACGAGAATTTATTATTAAAAAAAAAGAATAATCAAAATCAATTCAGAATTGGCTAAGATGTTGCATAATATACACAAGACATGATAGGGATGTCGGAAATTTTGAACATAATAATTTGATCGAGATATTAAGTTTTTGGGCTTTTGATGGACTCAATAAAGAAGTATTGTATAGGCTGGAATATGCCCATGACAACAAGTAATATTATATTGCATGTTCTATACATATCCGTATAACAAAACAATAGATACTTTATTTACTATATATTCCCCAAACATGTCTAAAGGAAATCAAATATCCGGACCCATTAGGCCCTCTCGTAAAATAACAAGCCATCGGTTACCAAGACGATAATAAAATTTATTAGGTAAGAAGTAAAGCATGCTCCATTTACCCAATTGTCACCATTAAATGTGTACCGGGGTTTCATACAACACTGTATCAATAAATGCTTCATTAGAGCTATTTTTAGAATATTTAAAAGGGAGGATTCTCAATTTGACGGTATTCTTTGAGTTGACGTCACGTGATGCCTTCTGAATTGATTTTTAATATTCTTTTAAAATTTGTTAGACCCAATTAGGGACAGATAAATTTCAGAACAAATTTTTAATTTATCAATCATATTACAGGCGATTTAGATAAAAAAATAAAAGGGATAGGAAGTAAACATAAGATTTAATACATTATAAAGATTAGTAAAAAGAGAATTCGAAGTAAGGAGGATAAACAACACAAATTATTGTATCTTTCAATCACACTGACACATCTAGGAAAAAATTCCAATAGAAGATATAGATCGTTAGCGATATTCTGACACCTATGTCAGCTTTAAATCTTAGCTTGCAAAGTACAAATACAGGGTGAAATTGAAAATATTACAATCCTTTTAAAACAATATTCTGTCAGCGAAACTGAATATTTTTCAAGAAATTTCTTCTGGAAAAATAGGAGGGGGAAAAGTGTCAAAAAACTTAAGACATGTATTAAGTTATAATATTATTATTATATCAGCCAGTAACTGTCCACTGCTGAAAATAGGCCTCACCTTATTGGGGTGTTTTGCTAATAGTTGCCATGTTTGGCAGGCGGGTTGGCAACCGTAATTAGGTTCTGGTGATGTTTTAAGATGCTGTTACCCATTCCTTGACCATTAAGTTCTTTTAGTCGCGTCTTACAGGAAAGGAAGGGTCCGTTCTATGCTGGGACCACATGACAAGTTATTATTATGGAAAGTCAAAATCTTTTATCGATCAGCGATTTGTGTGCGAATTTTGGAAAATATTCAGTTCCACTGATAGAGTACTTAATTGAAAGGAAACTAATCATTGACTTCGACTGCTTAATTCATTAGTTTTTTCTTTTGAGACAGAAGTACTTGTATGTGCTTACCATAAACGTAGGAATGCAAAGTATCGGAGGAATAATGAAACTGCTGAGTATAGCAGTGCTACACCGCCGCTCTGTGCATAATATATGGTTTCTATCTGAATATCTGAAAGAGAACAAATTTGGTAAAGTCTGTAAAATATGTCAAGTATATGATTTACTCGGATCTACATCTTGAATTATTAACTTTTCTCCGCGACTTCATTCACGTGACTATGACATGTTGCAGATGGAGTTATGATTTAATTTTCACCAATTTCAAAAGAAAAAAATACCAAACTATTAATAATTGTCTTACGAGTATTGTGAATAACATTTCAAAGATAATTGAAGTAATTTAATTGGTTGGCACAACAAGGAAATTTATTTAAAAATACGATACTGAATAACAAAAATTTAATGAATCATATTTTCACATAATAATTTTATTTGAGCGCACTGTACGCAACTGTGAACGTTTATGTCTTAATGAATATAATCTATTCTCATTGGGCAGGCAAAGCAACTAAAAGCAACAAATTAAATAATTTCATAAATATAAAATACAATATATACCTAACAACGTTTTTCATAGGTATGTATCTACTCTCCTTTATGATTATATCACTCCAAATAACAACTTATACTAGTGGTCGAGGATTGCTTTGTTTGTTACATTTTAGTGCTTTATCATATATTGCAATCGTTGTGAAATTTGGTATACACTTAAGCACTATATGGCAAGAAGAAGGGCTATCTTTTCTACCTGGTCAGTAGCGATATTCCAGTCACATAAAATAATAAATATAATATTTTTTTTTATTAATTATATAACTTATTTATGTATACTTTATGGTACCAGTGGTTACAAAAATAAGGAATACAAAGGAGTATAAAAGTTGGTCTTACCGCTAAACATTCCTTTTTCAAAGAATTTTCGAACCCCATGTCTCTGCCATGCGTAATTACTTCTTATAACAATATTATTATTTATGGTTATATTTTAATTAATATTATTATATATATATATATATATATATATATATATATATATATATATATATATATATATATATATATATATATATGTAATTTTATTGTACATTTATTATTATTAATTAAATAGTCATTTAATAAATAAGCATTGTTATTATTTTACTAAATCTCACTTCATTAGACGATTTTCAGCATTTGTTATTGAAATTACGATTAGAAGTAAAAAATAACAGATTTTATAAATAGCGATACAAAATAACAAAAGGAAAACTGATAAGTCTGATATGATTTTGTACAAAGCTTACTTTCTTGTAAAAATACACAATGTCTCGTTATTTTCAAATGTATTCATTTCACAAAACTTTTTCGTCTCTCAATATAAATGTATTGTATTTGCAAAAAAATATATATTATTTCTTATAAATAAAATATTTATTATATTCAAATGTGAAACTTATTTTTCAATAAATTAATTGTGTTGATGCTGGCGATTGACGTCATTTCATGGAATTTGAAATTAATCTTAATTAGATAAAAATACTCCGTTACGAGTTTTTTTTTTATTAATTAATTTATTTTGTTTATTTGTTGATGTAATTTCTTGTTTTTATTGACTTATTTAAACCCGTTTTCAAATTTACGCTTTAATAAAAAATTGCTAAGCAAAATTTCGTAATAGAATCTCGTACATCTGTCGGTAATTACTATTTATTCATTTTATGCTTTTAGTATAGTATATAGTACTTACCAGAGGGAGACTTTGTACAAAAGTCGATTTCTTGGGTACCTTTGTCCCATTCGTGTTTCAACCGTTAAGCAGTTGTGTTTGCATGGCTGTGTTTCGGTTTGAAGGGTGGGATATGACGTGAATTTATTGGGTACAGAGGAATAATACCTGAGTCCTCAGGAATGGCAACGCATGGGGGGTATCATGGGCGAAACAGTATACTCTGTTATGTCCATGGTACTGCTCATGTTTATAGGCGACAGTTACCACTTTATATCAGGTGGGCCGTCAGCTTGTTTGCCATTCTAAGTTGTATAAAAAAAAATAGTAGATATTAACATAAAAAATAGCTTGGATGCTAGTCCCACAATTAGGTTTAAACAATTCAAAAAGTTTATTTGTCAAAATAATTTCTTATTAAGGAAAGAAATGACTCTGCTTGAACAGTAGAATTATATAGAAATGACTATTTTAAAGAGTTGGAGTATCAAAATTTATAAACGATATTAGTAAGAATACACTAATAGTCTCCCAACATACTACATTGAGGCACTGTACTATATTATAAGTATACAAGAACCATAATTTCTCTGGATTGTTAAACAAAATAAATCGACTATACTATATTATTAAAACTTGTATTTTGTTCCATTATCTTTATTCAAAAAATTAATTAATTAATAATAAATTAATTAAATTTATTCGAATAAAAAAAATTCTTAATACAATTTAGATGACGTAAAAAAAAAATAATGCGAATGAAATATTTTACAAAATTACATACATACATACATATCTGTCACGTCTGTCTCTCATTAGGATAGACTGAAATAATGGAATGCCAAATACTTCGCTTCAAACAAGCCTCTTTTGCTCCCTCCACATTCATCAATGTTTTTATACACGCTCGCCAGATACGGATACTTTTATTTTAGCCTTTCTTTAGCATATTGCCTATTTGGTCGACATATGTCCATCTATGGCGGCACCTACCGGTACCTCTATTCATTCTTGTCGATAAATCTCTTTTGTAATTCTTCTTTCAATTATCTTCTCTAAATGGCCAAGAATTCTAGTACATGTGATTGAAATTGCGGGCACAGCTAGTAAAGTGATTAAAACAATTTTGCAATGTAGTATTTATTGGAAACCATTATACTGACTTTTTTGTTAAAGTGGCAAAGCTTTCTGTCGTTTAGAGCGCTTCTCGCTAAACCACTTATAAAAATTCAATTGACATTATTGATTGAACCATAATGACTTTCTTTGTTGGTATAAAATAAAACTTATTACACATTAAGCTATTTGTTTACGTCAATGAAATTATAAAATTAATATACTCAACTGTATATTCATTATTTTGATACAAATACAAATAATTTCATTCATTTATTAATACGTGGTTTAATATGGATTTTAATTATTTTGATTTATTGAATCAAGATTAGAAATCAAGATTAGAAATTCCTTTTTGTAATATTAATTTAAATTTATTACTATCACATTATCTTATTTCAATACAATTGATTTGATTAAAATTTGGTACACAGGTAGAGTATATCCTAAATTTACATGTATGATACCCTTATTCTAATTTTTGGGGCCGTAGTCGTGGTTTATAGCTGGGAGGGAATATTATTGAAATATGGTCATTGACTTCTTTGATTTACATATGAAGTAATGCAAATTTCAGAATACATTTACATAATACCACGTGTAATAGGTAAAAGCCGATTTTATCAGAGATTTTCTTTTCCATGTAAGTACGTTCTCTCGCCAATTTGTTATGTGTTTGGTTTCCAGTCTCTAGTCTTTAAATAATGCATAGAGTACGCGTAGTCTATGTTCTTTATTGTCTTATTTACTTTTTTATCACAAAAAAGTAAATAAGACAATAAAGTTCATCTGTGAACCGTTATTTAATATGTAATAGTAAATGAAATGGTGTTTCTCTTTTTAGACGTATATAAGTATAATAAATAAATATTACTAACACTTAACTAATGAAATGATGATTAAAGCCCCTCCCCGTGTGTATTGTCATCATTGTAGTTTATGGATGGCTCTTAAGTAATTAGTAACGAAATAAGAAACTTATTACATTCCAGTACAAATAAAAAAGTCTAAATATCTATTAATTAATATTTTCACTAATCATCAAAATAATAATAAAACTATATTTGTATAAAACTTAATATTTGTAAACAAAATACAAGTTTTTAGGTTGGAAATTTGTAGATATTTAATATCATATTACTTATTACTAATTAGAAGTTAGTAATAATAACCCGGTTAGTTAGTTAGTTCCTGATCCCGTGACTTCGTCCGTAAGATCAGGATATAATCACTGACCGAGATAAAAAGTAGCCTATATCTTACTTCATCCTATGTAGTATGTATATATATGTATATCGAATTTCATATTGATTAGTTGCGACGTTAAGACGTTAAAATGTAACAAACAAATTCACTTTTACATTTAATATCAGTAAATATAAGGATTGAAAATTTCTATCATAATATAATGACTCGGAAAGCAAACATTTCGGAAGTTCTTATCCGAATGTTTCAATACTTTGGACGTTAATGCACAAAGTAAAGGTTGATCTGTTTCGAAGACTTACAAAACTTTTGTACAACTTTATATACGAGTTGATTGAATGGGTACCTTTATATTACTCGTGTTTCTATCAACAAGTAGCTATGCTTGCATGGATATTGCGGCTTGACGTTACAGGTTATCTATGGGCGTCAGTGTGTATACAGTGATGTTTATGACACTGTCCTTCAGGCGGCCAGCTAGCTTTTTGGCCGTTCCAAATTGTATGAAAAATATGACTCTATCGATCCAGTTTGATACGTATCCAATTATTAGCTTGAAGTTATCAGTGTACAGACATACTCATACGTGTGATGATGTCTGCGTTTATTTAAAAAACACCCTTCAAAGGGGATAGCACAGTTCATTACAGATCAAACTACATTAAAATCTTTTTTTAAAAACGTGGTAATTATTTTAAATTTTGCATTTAAATTTTACAAATACTTTTCTTTAGAAGAATATTTTGAAAGTTTCAATGATAGATAGTTAAATGTGAATCTTATATTATATTTATAATTGTTTGATTAGTATTTGAGTTTGTTATAAGCAGTGGTGAACTATACCAGAAAAGATTGTTACTTTATGGTACCAATTATCTTAGTATCTCCATCATATTGAAAAACGCTTCTGTGTGTATTCTAATTTCACAATCTCTAATGGGGTGATCAAGGACGCTTGTTGATTACCACCGTTATGGTGAACGGACATGACACTGTATGTCCTCACGTAGCATATTTAAATTCAACGTGGCAAGAGGAGAGTCTACCTTTATTCAATTTTCATCACCAGAAAACTGATTAAAAATTAAAAATTGTATATAAATTAACATATTGGTGACGGTCAAAATCGAACTCCTGTACTACGTAGTCTATAAGTCGAGGTAGAGGGAGACTTTGTACAAAAGTCGATTGCTCTGTCCCATTCGTGTTTCAACCGTGAAGCAGTTGTGTTTGCATGGCTGTGTTTCGGTTTGAAGGGTGGGATATGGCGTGAACTTACTGGGTACAGAGGAATAACACCTGAGTCCTCAGGAATGGCAACGCATGGAGAGTATCATGGGCGAAACAGTATACTCTGTTATGTACATGGTACTTACTGCTCATATCTGTAGGCAACGATTACCACTTTCCATCAGGTGGGCCGTCAGCCTATTTGCCATTCTAAGTTGTATAAAAAAAATATTTTTACACAATATTATGAATACCTAAAGTCTATTTTTTTTAAATCAAATCGTATTACTGAGTTTACTTACTTAATTGCAACGTATCTCCATACGGCGAGCGAAAGAGTCAGACAAATAGAAGCGGTGTGGAATATTTGAGCGAAGTGCATGTGGAATAGAAGGTATGCCGCCCATTTGTACGGCATCTCTCGTTGCCCGGGCAGGATCTAGGAATCACAAAAAAAAAGAAGAATCTTTTTTAATATTTTTTATAAATTATTGTTTGTATGTTTTTTTTATATTTTACTAATTTCATATATTTATATATAATAAAATCATAATTGATACAAAGTCTTAAATTTCGAAATAATACATTTTATTACTATTTTTCTTAAAAAAATACAAAAAGGTCGTTATAAAAACATCTAGTCAACGAAAAGAGCAAAGGACAAAGTTTGTTAACGATTCCAGTATCAAATTTCTTCTTTGAAGCAAAAACATATTTGGTAACCTTGTTTATAGTGTAGGAATTTTATTAAAAGCATTTTATTCAAATATGAAAAGAAATATTACTGACATGTGGAAAAAATTATCTTGTTCGACTGAAGTGGAAATTAGATATTCCTCAATTAGTAACATTATCGAACATTAACTTTATGTTTACTTTATCTCTTGTTTACAGATATGTCGACATATTGGAGATATTTAATAAGAGCAATAGAAGCCAAAATAATATTTTTTTTATTTTTTAATCTGACTACCTATTTGTATATTTTTTGCGACATCACGCAGTAATAATGTTAAGTACTAAATTGGGTGTGGTTTTCACAGTTATGTTTCTGAAGGTACTTAGAATTTTGAGTATGTTTTATATTGATATGCTACCTAGTGTTTACGAACTTCCAATATCCGCGCGTACGAAGTTCCGAACAAAGGTTGTATATTGTATTGTTTGTAATTACTAAGAATTGTATACACAGAATAGCGATGCACGACTGTACTAATTTGACTATTAATTATTCGACTAAGCAAATCATTTGTATTTGAATGGATTTTCAAATCATTCGACTACTAATTTTATTCATTCGACTACTATTGTCATCCGACAACTAATGTCGTCCGACTACTATCAATCGACTACTAATATTATTCATTAGTAGTCGTTGATGTACGACTCGACACGAATATAGCCGAGTCGACCCGATCGTTGGAATGTCTTAATATTTTAATGGTTAAGCTTTAGCAATTTAATAAAAATTACCAATTTTTGATAAAAGTGTAGTTTTTATAGAAATTGCGAAAATATTATAACACGTAATATAAAATTGATATTTCAGTGCTAGGGGGTATCGTTTTTTTTTGTCGTCGTTTTTTATTAAGATGGTAATGCAGTAGTAATGAATACAGATCGTGCAAAGAACTTAGTAGTAAACAGATTCAGAGAAAGGACTTTGTTGTACTTAGTTACTAATTAGTAAAATAACTTGAATACGGAAATTGGTATATTACTAATTTAGTAGTCGAATTATAAAATTATTATAGTAATTACAAATTATTCGAATAACAAAATCATTCGGATTCGCGTATCGCTAACACAGAGTTAATTGTTGGTCCTATACATACACAATGATTACTACTAAGGGACAGGCCGGATATGAATTACTTTTGCTTCATAAAGATGTGTATATATACTAGTATCTATCTATTTAATATATTCATACATATTACATAGATAAATATAGACAAATGTAATGAAAGTTTGGAATTTGTCCAGGACAATGTCGACTCAGCAGGGCTGGATTTAGTTTCTTGCTGCTTCGGGCTAAAATATTTTTAGCGGCCCAGACAATAATGGAAGTTACAGAGACTTATGTGGTATCTATGGTGCTGTTCATGTTTACAAGCGACGGTTACTATTCTCCATAAGCAGACCCTTTAGCTTATTTATCATTGTATGTTGTATAAAAAATGACACCTAGACATTTAGGCGACTAGCAAAAAATAAACGTAACTGCTGACGTAAATGCGCACAAGGTACGTGTAGTGCTTTAATTTTTTGGCTGCCGTTCGTTATTGCTGCCTTAGGCAATTTATCGGCTTATCCTTCAGGCTATATCGATAATCAAATTTCGTTAACCTAGAACAATCCATACAATTTAAATTTTTATAAAATAACTTAAATTTTATCTGTTCCATACAATCACAAATAAGTTGACTAGTTTATAAGAAATGGGAATAGACTGCTATACTAGACTGCTGAAAGCAACGGTCCTGAACAACCTGCATCCACTGACTACCTGCAATGCATTCGAGGTCATCGCTCTATCTAGTTGAGTCACTCTAAACTACTATTGATATTGATTGAATATTATATTCATCGATTGTCGGTTCTTCGAGCTATGTGTTCAGCCCATTACCACTCCAGCTTGCTTTACTTTCGGGCTATGTCGTTCACTTAGGTTCTTCTAGGGATGTCCTCATTTCAAATTCTATCATACAAAGAAACTTCGAGTCTAGATTTATCTACAGTTAAATGCGATATCTTTAATTCTTGTTTTATAATTACTTACCAGATATCTATAAATAGCAAACGGTACGTATTCTAACATGACGAAAACATCAGCGACGGCCAGCCATTTCAAAAGTCTATTAATTGGTGCTGCAGCTAAATCACGGCGCGTTAATACAGCGACGTTGAGGGCGTTTGCTAAACTTCCAAAAAAACATACCTGCAATTAAAACGATCATATTTAATCATATCTACAATTTAAATATATAAAATACATTCTACAATTCGCAGTAAATGTAATTATTAGGTATTATCATCATCATATCAGCTGTAATTTGTTCACTGTTGAATATAAGCCTGCTCCTTTGGGCACTGTCTTTGGCGAGGTTAAAGAGCGGTGCTGTTTCACATTCCTTGACAACATTAAATTCAATTAGTCGCCTCCTACGACACGTATAGCAAAAGAAAGGGGTGGCATATTCCGTGCTGGGACCACAGGGCCATAGGTATTAATTACAGTATTAAAATATTTTTCATGCAATTTATAATGACAAACAAGCTGACGGTGCACCTGATGAAAACTGGTCATCATCGCCTATAGACATAAAAAGTACTATGAATGTAACAATACTCTGTTATATCAATAGTATTAGTAACAGTAAGATATACAGTAAGGGTACTGTATATATCATCTAGATAGACCTAGATATCATATCTTTTATTTGCCATTCCTGAGGAATAAGAGTTATGCCTCTGTATTCTTTAATTTTGTTGCCATATCCTACCCTTTAGACCGAAACATAGTCATGCAAACACAACTGCTTCACGGCAGAAAAATTAATGGAACAAAGGTACTCAAATAGACGACTTTTGTACAATGTCTCCCTTTGGTTTGTAAAAAAATGTAAAAAAAGCAACACAAAAAGTCAATAAACTTATTTAGATATTCAAAGCACTTATTCAATACTGTTGCATCTAGATCATATGTTCCCAGGTTAAGCATAGAGTTGAGTTTTTAAACAGTTTTAAAGATCTAGGGTTTAAATAAAAGGTGCAGAGATAGACCATATACAAAACTAATATACTTATAGGTTATTTTTATTCTAATTGACGTAGGCAGTAATGAAATATATTTCGAGTCATAAATATTGCGCTTTCGACTTAATATTCACAGGTAGGTAAGTATTTAGAGATATTTTATTATTTATTTGCCTTGATGGCAAATATATTATAATATTCTATTTACGTAATTACGGATTATGTTTAATCCATATTAATTATGGATTAAATATTAATTACGAATAGTAGTATGTTATATTAAAAAGTAAATGGAAATCTCGCTAAATTTTATATAATTTTACCAAGAAGATGAAATATTTTATTTAATATAATATATTACGTACTTTTAAAACAGGAAACACGTTTTTCTTTGAATGTTTGTGAAAGAAAATTTACAGTCCTGTTATTTGAAGGTGACTTGAATGAATGCAAGAACGATTACTTGAAAAACGTTTACAGGTAGATATCAAAGTGAAATTGATTTCTGGGTATACTTATCAAAGACTTACTGTAAGTATTTATAGAAGTGACAGTTCAAAAATAAAAAAAAAAAAATTATAAGAGACATTGTACGTGATTTGTGATGTTTATGGATGGGTTGGGCTAAATATTAACTAAGACTACTAGATACTGTCTAAATTAATTAACAGATCTTGGCGAAGTCTTACTGATATTTACAAGTAAACATTGTAAAGATGTTTGCTAGTTTGTTATTCCGAATATATCAGCAGAGGACATTTTTAACAATATGATCTGAATACACGTGTGCGTTGTATCTGACTAATGCCTGTTATTCCCAGAAATATTATAAATTGTCAAAATTTGTAAACATTTATAAATTATGGTTACTAAACAAATGAATGCAATTTGCCGTACAGATAAACTCTGCCGTACAGATAATCTTTTAAAATATAGGCTATTTTAAATCCTAGTTAATGCAGAAAAAATCATAGAAACTAGGAACATTAATAAACTAATATTTTAAATATAAAAAATTGTAAAGATATTTGCATATTAAATGTTCGAAGCTAAAACAATAGGGTTCTAAATATTAACTGATATATTATTTTTTACTTTAACGAAAAGTATTATATGCCCATAATTTATTTAGTTAGTAAAAATAATAATCGTACTTTTAGTTTAATATAAACCTTACTCAAAATTATACACAGATTTCATATTTTTTTTTAAATAAAATAGATAAATAATTTATTTGCATTACTTACAGCACAAAAACAATAATAGGCACAGTGAAAAAAATATAGTCCATATTACTGACAATTTTGCTTTAAAATCGGTTAATTTTTTTTCAGTTCATTCATTACAAACAAAACATTTAATCTTTTCTCTTTAGAACATAATAATATTAATTTAGAACTAAGGTTTTAATGAAATAGATCGATAATTTCTAAAAGTGTTTTAAGTTTTTTTATTACTATGCTGTAACTTATAATAAATAAAAAAATATAATATCTTAGAACATTATTTTACTAGATATGTATACAATGTATTAATTCTCCTGCGTAAAGTACGTAACCTTTTATGTAGTTCGACTCACATTTAATGAATAGTAAACATTGATAAATTAAAACGGCGGTAATGGCTTATTAATGGGGTGTCTACAACACATTTGATCTTTGTTTAGAATAGAGGGGTGTATATATTAAAAGTTTCCACACAAATACCAGTATTACTATTATATTTAAAGCAATTATTTTATGTTATTGAAATGTCCGGACGAACTTAAGAGGTAAAGGTGAAGTTGGCGTCCTTTTTTAATTTTAAACTCAATTATATCAGCTTTGAAATTACTTACGGCAAAAGTTATTAATCCCAAATATTTACTTAAAGTAATACTACAAAGTAAATTAACAATGGGTGAAATTCTTAATAAAACAACATTATTGGTGCATACATAACTCATTATAAGAACATAAAGTTCAAATAATTACATTTGTACGAATGTATGTACGTATATATGATATATAGAAAATTATACGTATAGAATACTCGTACGGAATAACTTAAGAACAGTATAGACAGAATGAATTATAGCATTTCAGAAAGTTGTACTTTCTGTGCCTGTTTTCATATACTTAATATGACATGAGAGATGACAATAGCGTTTTTGATATATACAAATAAACTTCATAAACTTTTGCGTTGTTGATATTTATTTGAAATTCACGGCAGGACTGAAGAAACCGCGCGGGCTGTCAGAAGAGGTTGTTGGCAATAAAAATCAGGTATGTAGGAACTATTTATCAGAAATTGCGTCGCGTTAAATCCTGATTGTGATACTTTGTACAAAAGTCGATTGCTTGGGTACCTCTGTCCCATTCGTGTTTTAACCGTGAAGCAGTTGTGTTTGCATGGCTGTGTTTCGGTTTGAAGGGTGAGATATGGCGTGAATTTACTGGGTACAGAGGAATAACACATTAGTCCTCAGGAATGGCAACGCATGGGGGGTATCATGGGCGAAACAGTATATTCTGTTATGCCCATGGTACTGCTCATGTCTATAGGTGGCTCTATGTTACCACTTTCCATTAGGTGGGCCGTCAGCTTGTTTTGCCATTCTAAGTTGTATAAAAAAAGCCTAATTTTATCATAAGTTAAAATAATTTCAAAGATTTATTTATATTTATTAATAAATAACAAATAGCTGAATACACACAGTGAGAGAGCTTTAGGGAGATTCAAAGATTCTACCACAAATTGATTTGAAAATAGGTCTTGATATACATACATGAAAGCGATTTATATGTTTATTGTATATAAGTATATAAATATCTGAATATTTGAAAAAAAGTAAATTTTACGTGAAAAAAAAGACTTAACCTAAAAGAAAATATTAAAGCGATAAAATACTGAATGTAACTCAAATAAAATATTAATTTTATTTGTAAACATGCCCTGCTAATAATGTCTTATATAACTTTTGTACTTCCTAAGTTGTTTATTGAGTATTTAATATTTTGAGTCTTAAATACTATTAGCTATTCTTCATTGTTTTATGTGATAAAGAAAATAATAATTTTATGTTTGTTGTTGTAAAAACCCGAATTACGGTAAGTTTAAAGTCAAATAAACAAATAAAGTAAAAAAAAATATATTTACATTGGAGATACAAATAATGTAAAAAATTATAAAAAAAAATAGCTATTCAAGCTACTTTTACATAGATTCTAGTACATACGTCGATAATAAATACATATAAAGACATTATTGTGCTTTTTCTGATGCACGGGTACAGGATAACGCCAAAATTAAGCCGTTGCTACTAAAAATACACGTGAAAAGAAATGTGAAGGTTAAGTACTTACGATAAGGCTGATGTATCCGTGTACGCTGTTGTAAGCTGATATAACGTCTCGAAAATTACCCTCGCAGTAATTACACGTCACTTCATTCGACTTAGTCAAGTTCAACTTGCTTCTCCAGCCGTCTACTAACTTCACCAATGTGCCGAAGTCCAAGGGTTCGTAGCTGTTATTTTTCGTCGATTGCTCCTTTAAAGCTGAGAGGAATTGTGTCAGGTCAATATTGGTACGATTATCGTTTTCCACTTCTGTGGCCAGTAACATCTCTTCAAAGAGATTAGTCAGAGCATGAGTTATATTAGAACCTTCGTCAGTCGACATTTTTTCTTCCAAAAACGAAAAATGACTAGACACATAACTTTCAGTTGCTGAACGTAGTCAGATTGGAGCGTCTACCGTTGATTTATGAGGTTGTTTTCCTGTAACAAATATTTCATTTCATTTCATAGACATTACAATTATTATTATGTTACATATAATTAATTAAGATTTCAGCAGTTGTAGTTATAATGTTTCATACATAATGTTCGAGAAAGCTCGACTTATATGTTGATAGTTTATAGTGACTGTAGATGCCGGTTGCTAATTGATATAGTAATAATAAAGAGAGCGCGGTGTGGAGTGAATTAATAATTTATTTTATTGCTAGCGACTATCGTTACAAGAATAAGGTTTACATAGCAGAGCGTTGCTATACATTATTGCCATCTAGAAAGTGCCATTAGTTTAAGCAAATATTTGTACTTACTCCCATATATGAAAACAAATTTAAAGTTAGTTTGAAATAGGTATTTTGATAATCATATAGGTAATGTGCAAATATAATTTGTATTTTTGATATATTCAAGTAACTTGAAGTTAGTAGTGGTCACTTTTTAACCCAGACTGGTGGCGGCGTGATGTACCGGGTCGTTGAGTTCTCTAAAATATGATTGAGCGCAATGATGGCTGGCTCATCCATTATCTGATCTGCTCATGTTTGTTTATTTTCCATTAAGTAATATATATAGAACTCATTTTATCTTATACTTAATAATTTGAAACTGGTGAGTTTCTTGCATGTTCTTCTCAGCAGATAACAACATTCCGAACCCAGTAGTAGTATTATAAAAAAATTACAAATTAAAAATTCTTGTAAATAAATTTATTTTAATAAGAATTATTTCTATATTTAATTACGTTTATTTAAATTATATTTCAGGCGCTGGAATGTATTTTTACCTTATATTTCCAATTGAAAAGTTCAAAGAAATTTCAGACATTATCTAGGACATACAATGATTTCGAAGAACAATAGCAAATGTCGTCTAGACATGTAAGTACTTTATTCAATTCACTAGATATATAACACTTACTCAAAGACAATAGTAATTTGTTCTTACAATAGAAGTATGGTTAAGTACATAGGAAATACGTCTTTAATATCTTTCTTATATATGGTATCCTCATTATATTTTAGGTATGTATGTCATCAATAATTATGAGTATAAAAGGACAATTAGGTATATCAGTATTTAATCGATTTTGCAAAGGGGTTTCTTATATATTGTGATATTAATAAAATATGTCTCTACATTCCAACGGGAAACTAGAACAATATAAAAAAATACGTATGTAACATGAGTATTACGCTGCTTCCAGCTCTAAACGTATTACTGAATTTAACTCCTCTACCCCTATTCATACAGGAAAAGGCTAAATCCAGTATGCTTTGAAGTCCAGTATGCTTTGAAGTCCAATATGGCAATCACAAACGCTCAAAATCCTCGAAGAATTAACAATGAGCGATCACATTCTGGGAATACCAGAAGACGACATAATTTTAGAATGCAATTTTGAAAAATATTACAAAATTGAAATATCTGAGAGAGAGAGAGAGAGAGAGAGATAAATAGAATAAAAATTACTTACCATCTCACTCGGAACATGACTAAGTTTGGTTCACAGATGGATGCAAATCAGAGGAAAATGTGGGATATGGTATCTATGGTATTAGACCAATAATCCGCAGCTCTTTAAATTTAGGCAAGTATGCTACAATCTTTCAGGCCGTAACTATGGCCGCTGGTTCATTAACTGTAGAAATACTTTAAATCTCTTTATACCTTCTTTTTAAGTAAGCTATTCGCCCTGCTCTTACATAGTAACTGTGAGATACTTTTAAATATCATAAGCCATAAAAATATAAAAGCAATCGATCTACAATTTGTCTATAAATAAGTGGTATTTAAAGAAAAAAATACATAAGTAGTAAATTTATTTTTATTTTAGGCATCTGCCGAAAAAGCCCTTCATTGTAATGACATGATGTAAATAGCAACTACATGTACTTATCGTGTAATTTTTTTGTTCGCAGACAAAATTTTTATTCAGAGTTTCCATTTAAAATTTAATTGAAAAAGTTTTAGAAAAATAAGAAATACAATAATATCTGTCTATCTATCTTAGACTGGCAGAGAGAAACGTGTCAAAGGCTTCAGTTCCTAAATAAATCTCTTGCTTCATCCACTTTCCTAAATTGTCTCATGCGTGCACGTTGGCTTTGGGGAATCTTGACTACTCCTTTAGATAGAATAAGGTCAATCTCTTTAGTTACTTTAGGTCTCCTCCGATACTTACATCTGTTTGTTTTTTTTTTCGCATTATATATCTGTTTTGTTAACTGTTCAAAAACGTTAAAAATATATCGAATACTTGTCATACAGCCGTACCAAACTAGCATGCTCTTTCTCATTTTCAATCCACCACGTTCAATACAGAAATACCAATATTATAGGCAATTATATTATTTTCGGAAGGGTTAATGTGGAAGGAGGTTTGGAACAATAAATAGCTTTTGTAACATCAAGGGAAGTAATTTAGTAGTGACTCACTTAGTTATCATATAAATTGAGATAGTTGGAACGATCTTTGTTTGTGATTGTGCGCCTATTCTCTATCCTAGCATTTTATTGTCTACTCGAGCTACCATTAAATGGTAAAATTGAAAACTTTAGGAAGGTTTAAGTACTCTTTCTGTAAAATGAAAACTATATTGTTCCGTTTTTACCTCAAGAACTTGTTTTTCTTTTAATTTCCGAGACGTATTTATTTTAGGCATTTTCCTTTTGGACCAAATGGTTTTCGTTTTCTTAATATTGGTTTCTTATTGATTTCTACAACTGTTCACTTGCACAAAAGTTTCATTAAAATGTTAGAATTCATTGTACATACAAAAAAAAAGAAATTGGATATTTTTGGATAGCGGTGAAATTCGTATTAAAATTCCTGTAAGTATGGGTTACTAAATTTATACGAATCCAAAGTAACTTCCTAGTGCCGTTATTTTGTGGGAGTTTACTTGTCTTGTAAAATAAGATAATCTCCTCATTAAAGGCCTGATTAATAAAAATATTCACTGTCATGTCGGGTGGCTTGAGCCTATTTATAAAATATCACACTTAATGTCTTTTGGATTATGGCCCCAGATATTCGTCGTCTAGTATCTCGTAATAAAAGGTTAGCCCTGAAATATAGAAAAATATATTCCCCAAAAAATATTCTTAAAATATAAAAAAAGTATATTCGTAAATCGTTTTTTAATACTATCAATTTCTGTTTAAATTTACGATGAAATGAACGTAAATCAAATAAAAATAATATAATTAAAAAAAACAAAGATTGTCTAAGTATGATTTGTCTGTACGGCAGTGTACGGCATATACATTATTAAAGTCATTAAACTGTGTACATAGCTTTTAAATTGGTTTAAAATTAACGTTAATATTTTTATTCTTTGTCAAAAATAAATGATGAAAGGTAATGAGAAATATTAAACATCTAATTTGCAAAACATGACAAAGTTGATTATTCCGTTTATTATTCTGATGCTGATCTCAAGCCAAATTACCCTCGAAGAAAAGAAATAAAAGAGAAAGTGAATACGTTATTAATCGGTATATTTAATATTTCTTTTGAATTTAATGAAGATAGATCTTTATACTACGTTATATTTATACCTATACTTGTTCATTTTCCGGATATTATTTTCAAAATACATAATTATTATTTATTTACAATTGTATGTAAAATATTAATCGGATTCTAATTGTATAAACAGTGAATTAGGTAGCATCTAATAACGAAATTGTTTTCAAAAATCACCACTGAGTTATTTTTCTCATATTTTTCAAATAGTAAACTCACTTCCATCTTATAGAAATCTTCCTAAAGAATTTCATTAACTACAGTTCTTTACACATTTCCATGACAAATAGCTTCCTGTTACTCGGAGACTGAGGCTATCTATTAGTAAGATATACTGTAATTGTTTCTACCAAGCTAATTTTAAAAGTCTGCTGTAGGTATCACTGTATAGAGATTATATACATCTTTGCTTATAAATATTATATATGTGATGTAAATTTGTTTTTGCTTCTTCGGGCCTCAACGATTCAACCGACCAACATAAAGTTTGGTATACATTTGGAATGAGAAGGACGTAGGTTACTTTTTATTCCAATCGATATTTATTTATTTAACTTTTTGTCGCATCTAATACATAAGAACATACAATGATAATTAGAAAATTAAATTAAAATACTGTAGGATAAAGTACAGATCAAAATAAAAACATAAAGATGAAGAAGGCGGCCTTATCGCTATGATAATCTTTTACAGATAACCTAATGTAACAATATTTTGTGGTCACGCGAGCGAAGTTTCAAATAAAGACTAGTATATAATAGAATAATAAAATGTATAATATAAGTAATTAATCTTAAGGTTTGATGTAATATTAATTCGTTTAAACAAAATTTCATTAATGTCGGCCTTATTTATTTATACGAGTATAGAATTTAATTGTACCTACATAATAGAAATAAAATTATTCTGTTCTAAGAGACCAATTCTTGGAATGTAGCAAAGTCGTTACCTACGCAGTATTATATTACAGTATAATAATTAAAATAATTAATATTATAACATTAGAATTAAATTTAGATGACCACACAGCAATCTATTGTGGAATGCCCTCGCTTGGCCGTGGATTTACATTTCAAAGACCTGGAGACACATTGGAAGGACTTTATCGTAGATACACCATAGTTATAGAAACCACGACCACTCTGGTAAGAGCGTACGTCTGATTAAATTCTGGAGCTTCAGTATATCCATAGACTTATATTTAAATTAGTGCATCAAGTGCATTTCGTTTACATGCTTTTCGTCATAGTCGTAGAATACTGGCATAGAATATATATATTTAATATTTATTAGACCCGTCAGTATTCTACGACTATAACGTTTTATAAAAATAATAATAATATTTATTTAATCAGACTACATAAGGCCCATTTTGTTAATTATAAATTGACTTAACCTATGTTAATAAATGAGCGGTCATGACGCTCTTGCATTGATAACCTGTCCCACTCAA